AATGATAGGGAATCACAATATTTTGCAAAAGAGTTACCAGCATTTTTGAGTTTCCAAAACATAAAATAACTAAAGACTCAAAATCGTGTGAAAGAAACTTGATCCTTAGCTTCTCGGCAACCAAAGAAGTGGGTAGTACCAATGAAAAATATCATTGAAAGGAGTCGTGGTCACCACATTCTTGTCACCATGAGCAATCCTTGGCCGCCTAGCTACTGAGGATTTTGCAGCGTCACCATGAGTCTTGCGCTTACTAGCAGAAGTGTATTGCCAAGGTTCAAGACCAACAAGCGTGTTTCTCCGCCCTTTGGCCTCGATTCGAGAACCAAGTTTTAGTTGGGCGAGAAAGATTACTAACGGTTACTCTCGTTAAGATGAGGACACAAATAATAACCCATCACAATAATCGACCGTAAAAGGTCACAGATGGTAATAACCGGGAATGTCTAAGGATAACTTATGCACCTCTATCGATGGAACATCGTTGAGATTGACTTCCACCCAATACGTTTTGGATTCGGAAAACAATATGAAGAATTGTGGAACACGAGTCAATTGATTGTTGGCGAATCTTTTGTTTTCGAAAAGAGTGTTCCATCGTTTACAAACGGTTCTGAAACGAAATAGAGATTTAAACGAAAGCCAAGACAGCATCTCTTCCAACAAATCCCATGGAAGCTTCTCTAAAACCTTAGTGTCTTTTGTTTTGGACAAGGTTTGATATAGTTTGGATGTGCCTCCTAATATTGATGGCATCTCCGAAGTATCAAGGTAAATATAAATGGAAAGAAAATCTATAATACAAAGACAAAAAAAATACATAAAATAGATGAAAGTAATAATAAGAAAAAAATCATAAATTTACACAACAAAAAAATCACGGAAAATAGATGAAACAACAAAAGAATAATTGCTTGAAAAAGAAGTAATATAAAGATAAATCATATTTCTATCGAAGAAAAAAAAATGTGAATAAATTGATGAAAATGATAGATAATAATAACTGAAAAACTATAATACAAAGAAAAATCATATATGTTTTTGTTATTTGATTTAAAATTATATTTTATCACATATTTTCAAACTATTAGTTTTTCTTATTCATACTTAAATTAAATGTAATTTTCTATTTTACTACTCAAATATCTATATTTCAAAATGATGATAAATCTATTCCTATATTTGTATCTGAATATTTTAAAACCCCTTAAAACAAATAAAAAACGAACAAAATGGAAGACAAAATTATGTCATCCCCATGAAGTGATACAATAAAATTGAGAATGTCAGTACAAAAATATTTGTAGAGAATCAAATATTTGTCTATTTTATTGTCATATTTATTTCTTTATGATTTGATATTCAATTAAATTATTTTACATATTTCTAAATAATTAGATTTTTCTAATCCTATTTAAAGTATGTTTTCTTTTACTATTTTACAAATAAAAATAAGTTGATAAATATTTTCAATTGTACGTAAATGGAATTGAAAATAATTATTTTTCACCTATTTTAATTAGGTTTAGATTTTCTTAATCCTATTTAAATTAGGTTTATTTTT